AGTGTTACTCCTTTTTCATTGTTATTTAGCAATTCGCGCTAGAGGAGCATGGCTTTGTTACTTTTAGCCGTGTTTTGTTCTTTTTATGCTTTGCTTGGGTTTAAGCTGTTTGTTTTTGTGTTCTGGTTGGGGTTTTGGGAATCCTGTTTTCGTAACTGCTGGCAGGTTCACAAGTTCTAGTGCAGTTTTCAGGGGGGACGTGTAGGGATGACCGAAGAAGCTTAGCTGAAAGAGCTCGGGGAATTGGTAGTGTGGTCACCCAAAGCGTCCTTCGGAGGCACCCAATGCTCCACGTTTATTCCCTTTCGCAGCAAGCGGCGGCCGGCTCCTGAAAGTGGAAGCAGATTTCCCCGCATGGGAAATGAACAAAGCCTTCGTTACCAGGGCCAGAGCTGGTGGCCGCCCTTGCCACCGGGGTAATTGGGGAAATGACATTGTCAGGGCCATGTGGGAGACTCTGGGGAGAGTGGGAGGTCCAGCCCCCCTTCGGAATGTCAGCGTCTCCTTTGGGAAAAGATGTCGACTTTAAACAAGCCCGTGCGCGGAGCAGGACGTCATCCTCCCGCATATTCTGTCTTGCGAGACAGAGAACTTGCCGTGCACGGCGAGGGACTTGGTGCCGAGGCGCAATTGTTGGCATTGGGCTGCCGCGGGCGGCAGCAGCAGCGTGACAGCCCCTGTATCGTATTTGCTCTCTAGTGTAAATATATTTATCATAACATCCATCACGAGTCTTCCGGTTCCTGACTGTAAAGAACGGTGACCCCCACAGCACCGCACAGCATTCCACATTCATTCGGTCCCCATCGAAACCCGAGGGTAACAATGGGGATGGGGAAAACAACCATCCTTCCATGAAGGACAAAACGTTACTCACACCTTCAGAAAACGGTTTCTCTCCGTGAAGGCGGTGACAATGAAGAGAGAATCTCCTGTCGTGCACAAGAAGCAGTGGACATTCTTCTCGCTTGAACTCATGCTTTTTTGCGCCAGTTTCCGCTCTGCGCGGGTGGTTGCTGTAGTTTTCGGCTCTGGACCGTCCCTGGAGAAGTGACTGGGCTGGTCGCAATTAAGACAGTTCCTTTGACTCAAGCGTTTGAAGGGTTTCAGTGATGGGGCATTCGTCGGGGCGCTCGTTGTTTGCTGAGTTGATGTTGCAGGTTCGTGCACGCCTTTGTGCGGTTCAGTCTTTTCTCTGGGGCGGCGGTGGTCCAGGGTTGTCGCGCAGTCAATCAGCTCGAGGATAGACTTGCAGCCGTGTGCTGCCAGGGGATTGGCCCACTTGTCTCCGGTGATTTCGTGTAGGATTAAGACCCGTCCGCTGGCTATTAGCTCACAGGGAGCTCGCTCGAGCGTGGCATTCTTCGCGTAGATGTACTGAACAATGCTCTTCTTGTGGCAGAGATGTCGATGTTACTGGTACTCCAAGAATTGTTGAAGTCCCCATTTTTTGTCGGACACGTTTGTTGATGGCTTTCTTTTATACTTCCCAGTAGTCAATTCGGGAACCATATGACTCGTGCCACTCTCGTGCAGCACTGTGAAGTTGGGTGACGGTGCTGAGCAGGGTAAAGTTTGGTATCCAATTTGCAAGAAGAAGCACCTGTGTGGTTTCTCGAAGAGACTCAGCGACGTTTTCATAGGACTCCCCCTCGTATGTGGAAATCGCGTGCGAAGTGTCGCTTGTGGAGTGAACTTGGAGAAGCCTTATGGACTGTTGTAGGGTCTCTGTCAGTTGATGTTGCATTGGGATGATGACAGACAGCAAACTGACCGTTGATGCGTTACCACTCACCTGTGCTGTCGTGCACAGTGCAGAAGCATCCATCGTGGTTACTTTTCGTTCTGATCCGTTTCCGCTTATCACGTTGATGCCATTTTCTGGCTACGCTGTAGAAAGTGTGTTGTTGAGGGCCAGAATTAACTGCTGGAGTTGAATTTTGACGACTTGTATTTTCTGAGACGTGGTCTCCTGATTGGCGACTTCCGTTCCATTGTTGGAGTCCGTGATCAGGGCGTGGTCACCGGTTTTGTTGGATTCTGCAGATTCTGTCGACCGCACCATGTCAGCAGTGGCCGGGTGCTGACGTTTGGTTAATTAGTAATGCGACATTGGTTTGTGAAGAAAATAAAATAATGTTCACTTAATAGAGTTAACTTCAGTTACATGAATAAAATTCCGCGTGCTTTGGTTATGTGGTTATATGAAGTGCATCGAGTCGTCTTGTCGACGAGACAATCTCTTGTTCCCAGGCGTGTGCTCTGGGGTAAGGTTCAGTTTAGTTCTCCAAATCGCAAATGTGCGCTTTCTCACGCACCGTGACAGGGAGCTGAAGTTGAATGTGATCCCTGTGGGCTCGCCAAGTGTCACATGCTGTGGATATACGTTACGCATCCTGTGTAAAATTATCCCATAGGCTGAGGCTAGACAAAACAAGCTGGGCTAGCCAACATGAAACATCAAAACCCAAGCAAGCACTTTGGGCTCCAGGCCACGTCACTCTCAAACAGAAGCAATGTTGGTGGTTGGTGTGCACGCCCTAGCGAGCGAGAAGTTTCCACCTGGTCGCACGACATACTGCCACACAAACCACGGCCGGATACACAGACCGATAGGTGCATGCGGGCTTGGCACAGCCTGGTGCTGCCCCCTGCTGGTGCTGACAAAACTGCCGCCACATTCTCTGCTGTTATACGCTCCCGCAGCGAGCGCTTTCTCATAATTCTTTGTATGAATGCGCATTCGCCGTCTCAATCCACTTCCGCCTAGCGGCTTGAATGCAATGTGCTTGCCTAGCAAGCTATTACATACGTGACCGCATTGAATGTGACAACTGGAGTTGACGCACCAAAGTTGCATTTGTGTAAATGCGGCTTCGTTCTTTGCTGCTGTGGCAACTGTGCTGGTATTGTGTTTGTTTGCGCCCCGGTCTTGGGACTGCTACGACGAGTGCACGCCATTCAGGGCTCAAAGAAATGGCGTCAGTTCAAGTGACGAAGAGATAAAATTTGCTCTGGCTGTCGACGGTGGGTGGAAGAAAAAAAGACGCTGCTGACGAATGCGCGATCACTGTATTGATGTGGACGATGTTCCTCATATTGAAGGTTCAGGCGCAAGTGGCACGGTGTGAAGCTGGACCACCCCGAAAACAAACTCATTAAGCTGCTTTCCAGCACGTCACCACCGCCATTTACCCGTGGTCCACTTAGACCTGGTTTTGATCAAGACCAACATTTGCTGAGCCACCGAAATGATGACTGGTGCCCGGTGGAATGTGTTGCCGAACGCTGTGTGTAATTGCTGGAAGAAGGCTGAATTCAAGATATCTGCAGCTCACGACTGCGCCGGCAACTGTGACGCTACTGCCACAATGCTCCAAGTATTGCTAGACACAAATTCCGCCGGAGTCAGCGCTGCATTGTAGGAGACCTCCGACAGGTGTACACTTGAATATACATACAATGTCTTGGTTTGCACAGAGCTTACGTTTAAGGAAATTGTTGAGTCCATTAAGGATACTGAGGAAGGTCACGAGCATCAAGCAGATAGTGACGAAGAGTCGGCAGAGGAGCCCAAAGCGATAAGAACCCGTGAAGTGACTGCAGCGTGTGAAGCCCTTCAACATTTTCTGCCGTCGCTCCCAGACCTCGTGACCCGGCACGCTGTAACTCTCAGCATCGGGTCAGCTGTGGTTGCTAGTTCTATAAAACAAACTATTGAAAAGAAGATCACCAACCATGTACCTGTCTCGAATAAACATCAGTTTCTTTCAGTAAGCCTATCACACTTTTTGAGGGGTGATAGGAAGGGTGATGCTTATAATGAAGTGACCTTTACAACAAAGACTTTTTGCAGCCCTATACATTTTGATGATAGTAATGCAAAAAAATGCGAAGGTGCAAGCAAGCTGTACAAGAATAACGATAACAAATAACGACTTGGCAGATTTTTTAAGCCGCGCACCAGTCACTTAGTTGTGTTCGGAGGTTTGTGTTTGTCATTTGTCCCCCTTGTTCCCTTTCTTCAAGAAATATTATTGTTATCCTATACATGTTTTTGTATTTGACAGTAATGTCATAGGCATGAAAATAATGCTTCCAGAAGTGTGCTTTGACAATAAACATTGGAAGTCCCTACTCATTCTTTCAGTGAAACGAGCATTCCTATGACAGAATGTAAAGGGGTGGATTTATGGGTCAGGCTTGGAAGGGGGTCATTTGACTGGCGAGGGAGGAGGGGGGGGGGTCTGCAGAGAGATGACGTCATGGACAGATGCAATGTTACAGGCGTAGCATTACACAGATTTGCCAAGTCACCAACAACTAATCATAGCTTCCTAAGAAATGCTGGTGCATGTGATTTTTTTTTGGGGGGGGGGGGGGGAAGTTCCTCCCCCCACCCCCACTTAAATTCGCCCATGAGCTCGTGTACCAGAAGAGCCTGGGCACCCGATCTTCTGGGCTATGGCTGGAACTAGCTTGTCAGGTGTTCTGCCAACTTTCATCACACACATGTGTTGGTAATGCATGTGGTGTGCCAAGACACAAACGTGAACCCCAAATATTTGTCGACGGATGCATTGCTACTGAGCGCAGCTCCGAATAGCTTAGTGCTTGTATTCCCTTCGTAAGTTGGATTCGGCTGCGTAAGTGTGTCTCTTTTGTGTGTGTGGACTTGAGTGACTGTTTTGCGGGTGCGCTGTTCCTCCTGTGCGTCATGAGCAACGAAATCACCTGAACCTCTGAACCTTAGCTAACGCGGTTGAGTGCTGTGAATGCATCACGATATGAGGCAAACAGCTTTGTTAAAGAAAAAAAAGTAGTCACTTATTTTTGCACATTTCACAGCGAGGTTTTCCGGCTCCCCACCTGTGAGCTCCAGTTTTCTCTTGCCCCCCGAAGCAATCCAAAGAGAGTAAAACTCAAACACAATTTAAACGAGTGCATTCCACTCTTTCTTTTGGGAACAAGTTGACCGTATATCTCACTTAGCAACTCACCTGTACCCCCCATAGATGTGAAGTGGCTCTCCTCGAGCTTGCGGCTCATTCCTTGAACTTGTGGCGAGAGCGGGAGGGGGCCATGTCTGCTTCGGAGAGGAACTCGAGGTAGCCCTCTGCCCCCGTGAAGATGACGTCCACCCAAATGCGCATCGCCTCGGCAGTCGGGGCCATCAGGTGGAACGTGCGCTCATACGTTTTGACGCAGAACGTCACCCGGGGGTTGGGGCTCTTCACAGAGTGCAGGTGATCCACGTACACCTCTTCTATCGCCTGAGAAAAACGAGGACAAAATATGGTCAGTCACAAAGACCACGAGTTCTCGGACAAGTGTTCTTAGGGGCCTAGAGGTACCCCAAATACGCCCATGGTTTCCTCAAACTCCCCAATTCCCCTCGCTGTCCCTGCCCCTAAGCAAAGTGTTTTCTGGTTTAAGCATCGCATCAGCAACACCGAGCCATCCTTTGATGCACAACTACCAGCCAAGGCCTCCTTAGTATGCGCATTATTGTTTACAAGGTCTTTGGGCTCCTGCACTGCTTCATTTCACCAATGCCGAGACCAGGCAAAGTGGGTTCCTCAGCTTTTAGTCCAGTGAGACAGCCAGCATAGCTAAGCACTTTTGGAAACATCACTAACTCGAAACTGTGGACCAACAACTAAGCTAAGTCACTATTGCCTCACATTCTTGCCACCTAAGGAAGAAAATATATACACCAATGAATAAGCAGTTGTGGGCCCATAACTGTTAAAAACTTTTTGGTTAGTGTTTTCTGACACCGGGTTTCATCGTTGTGATGTGTCATTTTTACAGTAGTAATGGTCACCACATACCATATTTGCTCAAGTAATAGCCGCACTTCTTGCCTCTACTTTCCAGGAGAACACACATACAGCCATTCATCGCGCTCTGCATAAAAAATGCAGCGAATAAAGAAGTCGAGTACATGGTTCTTCGTAAAATTGCGATCAGAGAAGGTAGCATTTTCGCGTGATGACGTTATCTCTGTCCCATAAATTGCAGCCATTTTTCTGCCGATCGCGGTGATTTGCTATCCCTGTGCTTCGCGGGAAAGTAGACCAACAGGCTTTGTTCGTAAACAGAGTGGCTATTACTCGAGCAAATATAGTAAGAGGGGACAAGACATTGCTGCAGTTACTGCATACGAGACTTCAGTTTTTAGTAGTTTTCTAGGATTGCAAGCCTCACGGTATTAGTGCTGAATTTCATACATTCCCTGAGCAGGAATGAGTTCTGCAAGACATCCCATGTAAGTTTCGTTGGCATAAAACCAAAGTGCCTATGCTCTGGTGAGTGCGATCAGCTCTGCACAGTTGGAAAGTGGGTCTCGTTAACCTTCTTCCAGTCGGTTCATTAGCTTCACTAATGGGCAGGAAGCAACACAGTTCATTGTTTGTACAAGGTCATAACATGCTGCTGTCCCCATAAGTATGTACAATCCTGCATTTATTAAGACAACCTGGAGTTCTGTGCCCGGGGCAATGCCTTGTAGCTGTTGTGTACTGAGCCGTCTCAAAGTTGTGCAATAGGAAGTGGCATTGTATAGCAGATGTAAATGCTTCTGAAGAATATAGACAGGACGGGGACTGGTGGCTACAGCTGAAATTCCCATGGGAGAATTGCACCCCTCAAGCTCATGTCGTAGATGCTATGCAAAGAGTTGCCCTAACATTTTTGCAACTTAAAGGGGCATTGTGGAACAATTGGCCGTCTCCATAAAAATAGACAGGGTCGGGCAGCTGAGATTCCTACAGCACAATTCACCATCGGTGCCATGCTAACTGATTTTCTCTTTGAATTTTGTAGGTTATATATAGGATTTTGTGTTTTTTAAGTTAATTTTTCGTGAGATTCAGAGGGTGTCATTTGAATTTTGCTTTTTCATTGAAAATTCAGGATTTATAGGAGTTCATTTTATTTAAATTTACAATTCTAGAAAATTTAGAGTTTAATTTCACAGCATTTTCAATTTTTCAGAATAAAATATAAAAATAAATAATATCTGGACACCAACATAACCCAAAATCATAAGATTTCACCTCTTAAGCCACTGAAACTAATGAAATCATTTTCATAAAAAAATGCTGGGATTCAATATTATGATGTATATTGTTTTAAATTCTCTTGGTGTCCATGCTATCAACACCAAGTAGATATTACAACATTTTTTGTTCAAACAATGAGTTCTCAAATTCCATATAGTCTGTTTTAAGTTTGCTATTTAATCTCAGTTATTTTTGCTGCCAATGTACTCAGTTCAATTTTTATTTTTATTCCACCCCCTACCCCAAAAAATATGTTCAAATGAACATCTTTGAGGGTAATAAACATAAACTTGAACCTGATCAAATGATATGTCTGCAGATGCATTTGGCATTGGCACCATTGCCTTTGGAAATACTTGCTGTCCCACGACAAACCTTGCAAAGTGCTGCTTCAAATAATGTCAATACCTAGGAAAAACTAAACGCCTGGACTTGGTCACTGGGAAGTGAAAAAACTCCAGCTGCACTGCCCCACTCAAAGAACGTCTACAGGTTCATTGCTCTTGCTATAATAAAAACCAAATTCTCCTTGGTCATTTAAGAAGCAAATTAAGTATTGTCCAAACTGTAAACAGAAACGGTGTCTTTTGTCGTGACCCATATAAACATTGATCCATTGTTCTGAACCAACCTCGACGAGATAGACAGTAAACTCCCCTTTGTCAATAGTCCAAAATTTAAAAACAAAACAGAAAGCAGTCTCTTGAGAACCACTGACCCTGTGCTCTCTCAAAATTTATTTGTAAAATACAGTCTTTTTTGCTTTTTATTTTGCCATGGTGGCCTTGAGAATCAGAGTTTTTCAAATAAGTCTAAATTGACAAATATTTCACCGGCGAATATTTTTATCGAGTTTTCCGAATTTACCTGAAAACACGGAGCCTCACTTATAAATATACAACACAGGAGAGAGGAAGAATATCATACTCCCAATCTTTTCCTCCAAATCCCCGACTCCACAAATGGCTGTGTCTTGAAGTTCTAAGCCTGGCCTACGAAGGGGTTCAGAAATTGCTTCAAATATTTGGAAGCGGCGACATTCCCACTTTGAGCTGCAAATTTTTTAGGGGTATTTAGCACTTTGTATGTCCTGGTTCTTGAAACCTTTAGACATGTATGAACAGCTTCCCTGGGGCCATTTAAACCCCAAAGATGTATTGTGAGTTTTTGAAGACACTCCAAGTATTTTAACCAAAGGGCCTCCCGTTCTAACAATCCAGAAGAAGTTACACCAGATGCTGGAATAAAAGGCTTCATGCTTCCAGGGAACCCTTCTAGAATTTGATAAGCCCTTGATAAGCACAGGGCAAACAACACAGTTCTCTTGTGCCTTGAAAGGACAGATAAGAGAAGGTCAATCCAGAAAAACAGCTCCCAACAAAACAAATTCCGCAGGTGAGACGAGTGGGTGGACTAGCATTGGACAGTCCCTGAATCATTCAATGGATGTTATGCTATTGTTATTTTCTTTACATTTAGGCTAATATCCAATTAAAATTTTGTATGGTGTAGGCTTGTCATACCAACTTTAGCACAGCTGATTTTCTTCTCTCAAAATTTCTTTATTTTTTTTTTTATTATCAAATCTATTCTTTCAGATAATATCAGTGTATATTATAAATATAATGTTAAAAAAATGGTCCTGTCAGGAGATGATAAAAAATATTTATCATTAATTATCCCTTTGCCTGGTTGTATTCTACTCCATACCTTTTCCCATCAAATGACGCCAAAAAGGGCCCTTTAGAGTAAATAAATAAAAAATAACTACATTCAATCAGATTTGGTGAACATTAAACCAAGACTGCTTTTACACAAATGTCATGCGGAGCACAAAAACTTTCTTCTGAAACGATACCTAACGAGAGCTACAAAATTTTCAGAAAATGCCAATATGCCACTGACTATATTTGGCTTTTGAATGCACTCGGAAATTACTGTGGTTAAATAGCCGACAACCAGCCCTGCTTTCGTTGCAGAAAGAAGCATGAGCTGGTTTATCTCCTTGGGATGGAGTTTGTGCTGCCAAATCCCCCGCATTTTACACCCGTGCCAAACCCACCCTGGCGCCACGGGAAAGAGTTGAGCACGTTGGTTACACATATTTAGAAGACACGAGTTGAATAAACCAAGCATACAAATGTAAGGAGGACGAGAGAGACGCATTCAACTGCTGGACTACCAACTGCATTTAATGAAACACTTCATTTTCTTCGACAGGCTAGGATCAATCATACCTAGCTTGCTTCACTTCTTTCTTTCTTTCCTTCATTTTTAAACTAAGGCATCCTCCTCGTCTTTCTACTTGAGGGCGGTGCTTCCACCTCGCAAGAACGTCCTCTCTTCTCTGGTTAAGGTCACAGATGGTGAACTAACACACATGTCCCCTTTCTCTTGTATGTTTAAAGCTTCTAAAACCTCACGTGCAAACCGGTTTCGATGGTGCCCCAGGATGGTAACTTTGTCTAGGTTCGCCTTGCACTTGCAGTCACGGCAATGTAGGGATAAGTGACCTGCTGCCGTCAAGTTCTTCAAACTGTTGGCATGTTCCCGAGTCTTATCATTTATACACCGCCCAGTCTGGCCGATGTAACAGCGGCCGCATGTCAGGGGTATGTGGTATATAACCTCCTTGTCGCAGTGGGCATAGACGGTCCTGTGATTGGTGCCACACCCCTCGCTGTTGCTGGTTTGCCCCTGATTGACCTTGCGGCACAACGAATAGGCCTTATTGGGCGCCGAACGCAGCACTTGTACCTCGTGCCGATTTGCCATCTTTTTTAACCTATGTGTAATCCCATGAATATATGGGAAAACCACATACGGTCTTCTTTTCTTCTTTTGCTGTGTGGAAGGGTCGCTGCGTCCGCAAGTCGTCTTGATGGTGCGGCAAATTCTTTCGCACACAGAGGCAATCACATGTCGTGGGTAGCCCGCGTCTTCGAGTCTGGATATTTGCAACTCCAAGCTTCGGGAGATCTAATGCTCACAAGATTTCTTCAGGCTAGAAAACAGGGCTGTGACGGCTACTGCCTGCTTAACAGTTTTTGAATGCTGCGACGAGAAGGGGAGAAACCCTTTGCCTGAACGGGCTTGGTATCTCCAGCAAACATGATCTGCTCTGAACTCCAAAACCAAATCAAGAAACTTGATGGTCTTCCTGACTGGAAGCTCATGCGTGAAATTGAGCCCCATGCATGACTGCTGAAAATACCTCAGGATGTTGTTGAGGCACCTGTCGATATGATCGTCAAGTTCTGTAGTGCATAAAATGAGGAAATCATCTACATACCTAAATATCGCCGCGATTCTTGAATCTTTAATGCTTTCTTGGATGGCACGCCCGCAAGCTCCGAGAAAAACTTCACACAGATGTGGGGCCACTTGGGATCCTATGCACACGCCGCTTCTCTGCACGTAGTGGCGATTTTGGTAGGCCACCACCGTGGCTGATAGGTAATAGCCCAAAAGTTATAAGAATTTTTAGAATTTAGAATAAAGTTCTAATTTGCCGCACCATCCAGACGACATGCGGACGCAGTGACCCTTCCACACAGCAAAAGAAGAAAAAAAGACCGTGTGTGGTTGTCCCATATATTCATGGGATTACACATAGGTTAAAAAAGATGGCAAATCGGCACGAGGTACAAGTGCTGTGTTCGGCGCCCAATAAGGCCTATTCGTTGTGCCGCAAGGTCAATCAGGGGCAAACCAGCAACAGCAAGGGCTGTGGCACCAATCACAGGACCGTCTATGCCCAGTGCGACAAGGAGGTTATATACCACATACCCCTGACATGCGGCCGCTGTTACATCGGCCAGACCGGGCGGTGTATAAATGATAGGACTCGGGAACATGCCAACAGTTTGAAGAACTTGACGGCAGCAGGTCACTTAGCCCTACATTGCCGTGACTGTAAGTGCAAGGCGAACCTAGATAAAGTTACCATCCTGAGGCACCATCGAAACCGGTTTGCACATGAGGTTTTAGAAGCTTTAAACATGCAAGAGAAAAAGGGGACATGTGTGTTAGTTCACCCTCTGTGACCTTAACCAGAGAAGAGAGGACGCTCTTGTGAGGTGGAAGCACCGCCCACAAGTAGACAGACAAGGAGGATGCCTTAGTTTAAAAATTAAGGAAAAAAAGAAAGAAGAGAAGCAAGCTAGGTATGATTGATCCTAGCCTGTCGATGAAGATGAAGTGTTTCATTTAATGCAGTTGGTAGTCCAGCGGTTGAATGCGTCTCCCTCGTCCTCCTTACATTTGTATGCTTGGTTTGTTCACCCTAGCGCTTCAATCACGGACTCCCACCTGGAAGGGGACGCCGCCCTTGAGTTTGGTCTCGGTCTTGTCGCTGAAGTACACAAGCGCCCGGCGGCTGCGGTCAAAGACGAACCAGCGCTTCTTCCAGGAGCGCCATTTGCCACCCAGCTTGTGCAGATAGCCACGGCACGAGCTCGCAGTCAGGTGGATGTGCGGGCAGAGCTCGACCTGGTGACCCGCAGACTCCACGTGCTGCCGCAGGTCGCACTCTGCTCCCCGCACCGGAAGGTACCGAGTCAGCGGTCTCTGCATAACGATTGGCACATCGGAGATCAGCACTGTAGTCGCCAAAGAGATAAGAACGGTAGGGAAGAGTTTTGGTTGTTCCTTATCAAGTGCAAGCTTCCTACATTCGACAATGCTTCGGCCCTAGAGCATGCACGCGCAACCAAAGCACGACAAAAGGCATCAAGAATGTGCTGAAGGCCGGGCGTTGGAAGGAAATGCTTTAACGTTCTCATCTTGTTTGTCACTATAACGAACCCTTTCCTACTAAGAACCATGAAATGTGCGCATCTCGTAAAGCTCGTTCTCATTTCGTGCCGACACCTGCGCACAAGGCAAATCGTCGAGTATCGCCGAATTAATTTTTGGTTTACATTTCCAGAACAGCTCTTAAAATGAATACATTTGTTGGTTTTCTGGATAAGTATTTATTTGCCTGAAGATCAACCGCGCCTTTTGAATGTGGCGTAGCATTCCTCGAGATGCCGTTACTGACCCTGTTTGGTAATACTTGCGAGCTATGCAACAGGTAACCATGTCTACTGCCCTTTTGTTTTTGTACGCAGCTCAGTGTTGAAAATAATGTTAAAAGCTCCCCTGGTAGAATGTTGACATCATAAGTTGTTCTCTGCTTCTACTGGCAAAACAGCGAGACACCAAATCTCGTGGCCTACCTGAATGGTGGTATTTCGCAGTGGGTGAAAGGCACTGTTCCTCTTTAGTCAAATGTAGTCAGTAATGCAGTATTGGACTTCAAATTCACTTGAAGTCAGCAATTAAGAGGAAATTTAACTGTCAATTACCTCAACTTGTTTAAATTACAAAAGATGTATAACAAACAAACCACAAATCTAATTGTATATTCAAACAAACTATTGTCTTTAAAAGAGAAAGGCACATCAAATACCTTTTTACAAACACCTGAAACAAAAATATAAACCGTTCAGACAACATAATGCAATGTCTGAATCTGCCAAAATGTATTGCTTTATAAATAATTGGTGTTCTTTAACACAGACAGTAAATAAGACTGTCTAGTAAGGTCATAGTGTTGTATTGCTTTGAAATTCACTTAAAAACATTATAGTCGCACTTCCTTCCCTCAACGACTTTACTCAAGCACTGCACCACATCTTTCCTCACCCCTCATTCCAAGTGCGTTATTTTAATGAAGATTAAAAAACTGTACCAGTCGTTCTATGGTAAAGCTAGTTCTCACAGCCTTTACCCCAGTCTGGCAGCCGGTGAAAGGGACCATGAAATGAGTTTACGATCGAATTTCATCCACTGCATGTCGTAAAGGGTGTGAAAAGAAAACCATAACACAAAAATAGAGCCAAAAAAAATTTTCGTTCTTGAACCTTTAAAAGAAAGGCGGACCCTTTTATCCTTTCCTTCCTTCGAAAGCTCTGCCTTTTCACTGTGATGCATCCGCGGCGCCAATGCACATCAGCCAAGTCGACGTCGCCTATTGGATAAGAGCCTACCTCACCAGCACCACAATCATAAACAATAAATAGCCAGCAAATGTTTCTTCAAAGTTTTGTTAAAGAATATTCTGATCCACATTTTGTTGAATAATGAGCGATGCGACGAAAATTGGCGAATTTTATAATGCTCGGTGCTATGCACCATCTATCATGTGGTAAACGAAGCAAGAGAAAAACAAGACTATGCTGTTTCGCGATTCGTGCACTGCTGAAAAACAAGGCGGCGGTGGTGATTGTTGACGTGGGCGGTGTGGTGGAAGCTCATCGTTCCACGTATAGCGCTATCCGTGACTGAATTTTCGTCACGTGTCACGATGATAACCCAGCACGCCCTAAAAGGGAAGATCCATCTACTCATGCGGCGATGTTGTAGCAGCACCCTCAAGACAGCAGAAACGCCAATGGTGTCGTCTTTGTTTACTTTAGTGATAAGGCAACATCCATTCATCTCTATTCTTGCCTATTTCTAATTGCTTTTGGAGAAACCCAACACCCGTTAGGGGAGATTTGGCACTGCCGTCTGCAATTGGAGTCCCAATGGGAGGTATAGGAAGATTCCGCCGGTTGGTTACGCCCTTGTCCCTGTGTGCCTCTCTTCTCTCTCCTTGTTTTTTTGGCACATTTCCCATCATGTATCAGAACCAACTAGCCCAACTCGCAGTCTTAATGCTAATAAACAAGTTACAAAAAAATGTAAAAAAAAAAAAGCGAATGCCAACAAGCTCTACAATCAACAGCAGTTGTGGAACGTTTCAGATCCCTTTCTCCTCATATTACAACCACTTAATTGTGAAAATAATGCTCGCTTCAAAAGAGAGTGCAGATGTATACAAACAAATAGGTACATGTATGGCAAAGCCATCTGTGTGTTTGCTTGTGGCAGCGGTGTGTGGAGAGAAATGATCCCAAGCCCACCTGAGCCTTCTGCTTCTCCCTCCTGCGGATTTCATGGTGGATGGCGTCATCTCCGGAACGGGGAACTAGCACTGACCGGTCCTCTGCATTCAGCTGCTGGTTGCGTTCGTGCTGATGCACCTGGAATACACAAATAAAAAGAGTGCTGTCAATTACTGCTGACATACAGGCCTGAACTCCTTCCCAATGTGCTCACCACTAGAGCAACCAATATGTTTTAGGCAACAAAAAGGCAAAACAACATTGAACCATCCTAAAGTAATTTGGTGCATGAATTTTTAGAAAGCTTGAAGTTGGTCCAAAACTACTAGCCGGAGGAATTTGAAGTGCACCAGACAATAGTAATCAACACACACTGATACAATGTTCATTGGATGTAGAGCGTTCTTGCCGTTTTGGATGCACATTCTAGTTCCTCATTTCTGAAGTTTCCTTTTAACGCCCATACATTTAAGCAACAATGTCGGGCAGTTAATTCACCCAGGACTGCAAGAACAGTGAATATAGGTGTAATATAGTTTATGACGAAAGAGTAGAAATATCTTAACAAAGTGTTCCAGGAAACATAACATTGAATACTTTATTAAGTCTGGCTCGTTAAATTATTGTTACTAAAATTTAAGGCCTTGCTCATTGCATTCTCTTCCACGAAGTTTTTGTTGGGACTACTTTCGGTACAGTTCCGAGTTAAACGAAGCATGCGATAAAGTCGCCACTTTTCCTTCAAGGCAACATTCATTATCGGCTACCCTTGGATGGATGGAGTTAATGGAACGGGGGGCACCAAAGCACCGACAAACAAACCAAAAAAAGACGCCCATCGGTTTTACCCGTCCATTATATCTCCGTTGTCTGGTTTGGCACAGCACGAAGACAAGGCTACGAAACACGTCACCTTTCCTCGTGAGAGCTGTGTTCATCGTGTGGCAACGCTTATCGAGAAGTGAAAACGACCTTGAAAAGAGCAAAATACGGTTTATTGTCAAATCTCGAGAAACCTGCGCTTGTCTCCCGGCGGCGGAGCTTGAGAACAGCGGCAAGCATCAAAAACGAAGCGCAATGTCACCGGCATCACGGCTCAAAATATCGCGCGCGCGGTGGGAGATCCGACGATCTGAAAGCGAGCGGTTGTTAGGACACTCTCCACCTCCGAAAAGCCAGCAGCGTGAAATGTCGCCGCTTCTCGGCTCCTCGCCGGGAACCCCGACGTCGACCGAAATAGTACGCGCGGAGAGCGCGAGCTTTCTCTTTGCACCGTTTACCGCCACCGCTGCCGATAAGGGCTACTTGTCTTATGTAACTGGCCGCGTCCCGACGTGTTTGGGAGCTGCGCTCACTCCGCTCGTCGGACGCGTCCCCCCTCCTTCCGCAGGCTGGAGACGGAAGTGAAAGCGGCGAAAGCGACAAAATGCGCGTACTCACGGATATGTACATGACGTGCGGGTCTCCAAACATCCTGAAGCGTCGTCGTATCGCGGTGTTTTGCGCGATGCTGCTGCGATCATGGGGCACTTCGAAGCAGGCCGAAAGAAAGGACGAAAGGATGCAAGCGATGCAGGACGCGGCGCTGTCGACTGGCGACGTGATTGACGGATAGACGGATAAACCGCTGACGCTCACGAAAGCAAAAAAAGAAAAATACAAGGACGCGCAGCGCACCGCGCGGCAAACTGCCGAACACCGAATGCAAGCGATGCGAGGCCGCGGGGCGGTGCGCGACGCGCTCGATGAGGTAGGACGCGGAGCGTTCGGCAGCTGGCGCCATCTCTCGAACAAAGAGGGAAGCTAATGCATTAACCCGCGAGCGGAAGGACATATAGGTGACATTCACTTGACGTCACTCGCCAGGTTCGCTGGCATCGCCCACCACGGTCGCCATCTTCGAGGTCTCTTGCTATCGCGAATGCCATCTCTCCGGACCTTTTGAGCGTGGTTTAGCAGTATTTTACAGCTTTAAAGGGTCTTTTTGACCGAAACTAGGGGTTATTCTTATACTTTGGTGCTTTTGAATCGCCGTGGGAGTATTTTTTGTGTGTTTTAGTTAGTTTTTGTCGCTATCGGACTCACTTACCGCGGCCGCGATGCTCCCTCGGCTCCATGAAGCGCTCCGTGTCGCCCGCCGTGCCGACGGCGCTAGCTCTTGCGAGAACTAATTTTTCTACTTTGGTGCTTTTGTAGCACGCTGTGATTACTCTTTGTTTTGTTTTGCTAGTTTCTTTATTGTTTCTCTCTAGCGGATTTTCTGTACTACGGCCATGTAACCGTATTGCTCCATCGCCGCTGTGTCGTACATACGTCGTGCCTTCGGTGTTCATTCCTGTGCAGAAACATACCGTGCGGCTAACAGAGTGCGCAGCTTATGAAAAATGCGGCGCATTTTTCATTAGCTCAAGCGATTTAAAAACCGCATGTAAGCGATTTAGCGAGCGGGAAGACAAGCGACGACGACCCGCTTCGCTGCCGCTCGGTCACTCGCGCGACGAGGCAAACCGCACGAAAGCGACGGGAGCACACGACCAAGGCGATGAGTGCTAAGTTTTCTAGAAATCCCAAAACCGAGCTACGCGACGAGTGACAGTGAAGGGTGAACCGCATGTAAGCGATTTAACGAGCGATGGCGACAGCGACGGGAGTCGGCGACGAGCGACGGAGATTTCTCGCGGTCGGTCGTCGCGTCGCTCGGTTTTTGGATTTCTAGAATGGGTCGCTTAATTATCGCCTTGGTCGCTTGCTCCCGTCGCTTTTATGCGGTTTGCCACGTCGCGCGAGTGACCGAGCGACAGCGAAGCGGGTCGTCGTCGCTGTCGCTCGTCTCGTCCCGTCGCTCGCCAAATTGCTTACATGCGGTTCAGCCTTTACACACGGTACTCGGCGGCAACAAGGAAAACGGCCCGCCCCCGAGATCAACTTTTCTTCTCTCTTCTGTTCAACGAAGCTTCAACGATATGAAATTAGCACACACTAGCAGCGGACGACCGCGTAGCGTACCCAAGCCAGTCAAACCGCGACCTCGAAGATGGCGGATCGACGGTGGCGCTCCCTGGCAAAATCGAACCTGCAGGCTCAGTGAATACCACCTATATGTTGAGTTGAGACTTCAAAGAATAAGAAAAATGTTGTGTCTCTGGTCTGCTCCCGCGTTAGCATTGCAGACTTAAAGCCGATTATAATATAAATAAAGAGAGCTTAACACAAAAAAAAAAAAAAAAAAAAATTGTAATAAAATTTAATAAAAAAAAAAAAAAAAAAAAAAGCGAAACCGCAGCCAAACGAACCGGCCCGGTCAGCGGAGTAAAACTCTTTACAAACACGATATTTCAAAAGATACTCATATGAAACATTGTGGTACTTTCCGCGGCGTGCACTGCGACTTTCTAGGAATGTATCAAAAGTAAAGAGGAAGATAACTGAAGTTTAAAACCCGCCCCGCCTCGCCCTCGCTCGCCCCGCCCCGCCCCCGCCCGCCCGCCCGCCCCCCCCCCCCCCCCCCCCCCCCCCCTCCCCCCGTAGAAGCTCAGTTTTCTGCAGGGAAGATAATCCTCTCAGCGCTCCCCTCTCCTAAGGTGCTGGTGGAGCCAAGTAGGGGCAAAGTAAAAGTGGAGGATATAGAAAAGGAGGAGGCGGGGAAAAGTGGAAAGCGCGAAGTGTACGTCGCCGTTTGGAACACCGTTTTATGTATACTAAAGCGCTTAAACAACTGTTACTACTACATTGCCGCTACTGCTACAACAACAGATAATTATGTCAAACTTGTTGAATGAAGGGCTGCTCGAGGGACTGCAAAAATTGCGAAATGTCTAAGTAGAAACGTGCCGACTAAGAGATGATTTGAACGACGCACCCCGTAAAGACCAGCACACCCGAAAGAAGGGACAAAGCCGCTCACTGAAAATTTCCTTCGTACATACCCTAAACTCACAAACTACGTGAAAATGGACAGCGGCTGCATTTGCATTCTTCGCGTGTACTTATTCCTCCCTCTTTTTTGTACAGTAAAATGCCTAAAAACTAAAAACAAATATAAAAAAAACTTGAGACTTTAGGAAGAAGAGTGCATCCGAGCGTGACCTTGATTAAAATTCCAAGGCCCGACCTTAGCCCAAATGAGCCTCATACATTACAGCGAACGAGGAGATTAGGTGGAACCCTTCGAGCCCCCGTCTCCGACCCTTGAGAAGATTGAGCAAACAGTTCCTTCGGGGTTCTTTCAATCGCGCTTGTGTTTATGGGAAGCAGTGGCGGGGACTTCCTTGTTAACCAGCGGCACGCCGACGAAAACAGCCCCGTCGATTTGTGGAACAACACTGGAGCCACGTCACGTGGCTCCCCCCAGCTCTATCGTCGTTCGAGGCAATGGATGCTTCGCTCGATTTACCAAGCCCACTTCCAGCCTGACTTGGACGGTCAAAGAAAGCGAACGAAATCGCGGCTGGTGGGATATGGTCCCGAACCGTCGAGTAAAGATGGTGCTCTTTGACCCAATTTGGTTATTAGGATAAACGCCCGGGAAATTAACAAATCGAGTAGTTGTTTAGGCATGAAGATAAGTGTCACAAAACGATGTATGACGGAAAGAGAGAGACTCATTACATATGTTGCTACCCAAAATACATAAAAAAAGGGGAAACGTAGCGACTAGAGTAGCGACCATTGCACTAACCTACGAATAATCAAGGAGCAGGCTCCTTCGACTTGGTAGAAATCGGTGGAAGTCAACAGGGGAGCTCCTCCAACTTCTTTCCAGTCAAGAAGAGCAAAAGCTGGAGAGGAGGTCGCATCCTCTCCAGCGTTCACTTCCGCTAAAGGGGAAAGAGGTGGGAGGAGCCTGCCCCCGAACTGTTAACCTGCCACTGACAATATAGTGAATTCAGCTAATTTCGTCGCAAGAATTATTCACACTTCTTCGCCGGCATGCACCCCCCCCCCCCCCCCCCCCTTTCCGTATACTCTTCGGTGCTTTTTATACCAACTCATTCTGATTTAATCCGATTATCGCTTTTCAAACGCGCACATATTGACGGCCTTGAGACGTTACACTGAAATAAAGAGACCAAAGAGAAAAGGTTTCAAAACAAAACGGATCTGAATTTCGGCACAAGATACATTTATACTTGCGCTTC